TATCCTTTAATTTCTAAAAAAACTACTTTTAGGAGTAAAGTAGGGTACCAAAAAATACTTGTGTATTTTCACAAAACACTTCAACTTATGCTCAGGGCCAGTCCTGACCAAATGAAGGCCCCGTGCAACAAAAATAATTGGGTCTTCTTATCAAAGTTTCAACACAAGTTAAAAAAACCGAACCGAAACCGCACCGAGTCAAACGGGACCCGAAAGTCGGGACTCGAACATAAATTGGTTTAATGAAGGTTTTTGAGTTATAAAATCGGTTCAAACCAAACCGAACCGATTTTTATTAAGAGGTATTTTTAATTATTTATTTTGTAGAACAAATAGGTAATATAAAGCTTGTACGTCCTTATTTCAACAATTAGTTGATTCGGTCTAGTGGTTGATGTTTAGAAATCAGCGTGCATGCTTTTATTTTCACTTGGGTTCGAATCTCGCATGCCTCGCTTCTTTTATTTTTTGTTTCAAAAGCTTAAGATTCCCACACCGGTGGAAATGGAAGATTTACTACTCCTTCGTTCCTATATATACGCTCCTCCTTTGCAAATGAGGAATACGCGAAGTGGCGAACCAGGCCTGCTTCAAAGCCTTGCCCTAGTCCAATTTTTTTTGTACTTCATTTGGTTTTATATCAAAACCGAACCGAAACCACTTCTCAGTAATACTAGTATACTAGTGTAACACCCGGGACATGCCCCGGTAGTGTCATGTTTATGTGATTTAAAATGATAAATATTAATAGAGGTTATGACTTATTTAATTAACATTTTTATATTGAAAAAAGAATATGCTTACTAATAATGTGTTGAGAAATGAGAAAGGGGTTTTTAAAACGTTGATGTGTATATGATTTGTTATTCTTTTGGTTTCATTATTGTTATCGTCGTCATCATCATCATCATTGTTGTTATTGTTATTATATTATTATTACTACTATTATTATTACTATTAATATTATTACTATTATTGTTGTCGTCGTCATCATCATTATTACTATTATTATTACAATTAGTTTTACTATTATTATTACTATTAGTTTTACTATTATTTTTATTGTTATTGTTATTCTTATTGTTATTGTTATTGTTATTGTTATTGTTATTGTTATTGTTATTGTTATTGTTATTGTTATTGTTATTGTTATTGTTATTGTTATTGTTATTGTTATTGTTATTGTTATTGTTATTGTTATTGTTATTGTTATTGTTATTGTTATTGTTATTGTTATTGTTATTGTTATTGTTATTGTTATTGTTATTGTTATTGTTATTGTTATTGTTATTGTTATTGTTATTGTTATTGTTATTGTTATTGTTATTGTTATTTTTATTTTTATTGTTATTGTTATTGTTATTGTTATTGTTATTGTTATTGTTATTGTTATTGTTATTGTTATTGTTATTGTTATTGTTATTGTTATTGTTATTGTTATTGTTATTGTTATTGTTATTGTTATTGTTATTGTTATTGTTATTGTTATTGTTATTGTTATTGTTATTGTTATTGTTATTGTTATTGTTATTGTTATTGTTATTGTTATTGTTATTGTTATTGTTATTGTTATTGTTATTGTTATTGTTATTGTTATTGTTATTGTTATTGTTATTGTTATTGTTATTGTTATTGTTATTGTTATTGTTATTGTTATTGTTATTGTTATTGTTATTGTTATTGTTATTGTTATTGTTATTGTTATTGTTATTGTTATTGTTCTTGTTGTTGTTCTTGTTGTTGTTCTTGTTGTTGTTCTTGTTGTTGTTCTTGTTGTTGTTATTGTTGTTGTTATTGTTGTTGCTATTGTTGTTGCTATTGTTGTTGCTATTGTTGTTGCTATTGTTGTTGCTATTGTTATTCCTATTGTTGCTGCTATTGTTGCTGCTATTGTTGCTGCTATTGTTGCTGCTATTGTTGCTGCTATTGTTGCTGCTATTGTTGCTCTTATTGTTGTTGTTATTGTTGCTGTTATTGTTGCTGTTATTCTCGCTGTCGTTGTCGCTGTCGTTGTCGCTGTCGTTGTCGCTGTCGTTGTCGCTGTCGTTGTCGTTGTCGTTGTCGTTGTCGTTGTCATTGTCGTTGTCCTTGTCGTTGTCGTTGTCGTTGTCGTTGTCATTGTCGTTGTCATTGTCGTTGTCATTGTCGTTGTCCTTGTCGTTGTCGTTGTCGTTGTCGTTGTCGTTGTCGTTGTCGTTGTCGTTGTCGTTGTCGTTGTCGTTGTCGTTGTCGTTGTCGTTGTCGTTGTCATTGTCATTGTCGTTGCCGTTGTCGTTGCCGTTGCCGTTGCCGTTGCCGTTGTCGTTGTCGTTGTCGTTGTCGTTGTCGTTGTCGTTGTCGTTTTCGTCATCGTCGTCGTCGTCATCGTCATCGTCATCGTCATCGTCATCGTCATCGTCATCGTCATCGTCATCGTCATCGTCATGGTCATCGTCATCGTCATCGTCATCGTCATCGTCATCGTTATCGTCATCGTCATCGTCATTGTTATTGTCATTGTTATTGTCATTATTATCATCATTATCATCATCATCATCATCATCATCATCATCATCATTATTTCTGTTTTCACTTTATGATCACATTAGTTGAAAAGGATTCATATCATGTAGTAATAGGAAAACTTAAATATAAAATTTGATTGTAAATGCCACAATAACGAACACTAAGAATTGACATTGGATCAATGTTCTTGGTAAAATATATCTGTAATGATGAGGTCGAACTGTAAGTACGTGATATCACTTTAGCATAAAATAGAAATACTACAATATACTACCTCCGTCCCTTAAAACTTTGCCAATGTTACCGACACGGAGAATAATAGTGTAAAATTTGTGTGGTTGAGACGTCCCGAAAAGGAATAACAGAGGAGAAAGAAATAACAGAAACCACAAAATAATTGATAAAAAGGGAAAGTGACAAAGTTTTTTGGGACGTCCCGAAAAGGAAAGATGGCAAAGTTTTAAGGGACGGGTGGAGTATGTCATTATAGGGGGCGTTTGGAAAATCGTGTTTCAGCCAAAAAATTGGTCGACCTTTTTAGCTTTTTCAATTAGTGTATACACTGACTCATGTTGTTTGGTAAATAAGTGCCCGACTATAGCATCTTTTTTGAGACCGCTGTAATATAAACACTGCAAGTAGAAATGTTTTGAGTTTAGTGTTTTTGAAATATGGTATTATCTACTAACCGCTACAACCAACAGCTGAATTCGCAAACATCTTTTTGCAACTCATCATTTCATTCTTCTAGTTATTCCCACATCTAGCATTTTAACATTTTTCTCTGTCTCCCTCAGAAAAGGGCTGTTTTTACACGATGAGTAAATTAATAAGCTACTTATTCAATATTTGAATGTTAGTGTGTGCAAGAAATTGATTTTTGAATAATTTCAGAACAAATTGATCTAGGCTATAGAGTCCGAATAATGCATGCGGATCATGTACAACTTTGCTTATTATTCAAATATTTTTACGCTGCATCTTTATGTTATTTGTATTTGATATTAACGTTCAAAGTGTGGCATATTACTTTGCAATAAAATAAGCAATACAATTGGATATTAACATTCAAAATGTTGCATCTGAAAAAAGTTGTGTTTTATTATCAAGATGCAATTGTGAGTCTATAGCATTTAATTTAGATCAACTCATCGAATGACTAAAATGAATTTGTAATTTGTAAATTAGAAGATGTTTGTATTTGATCGCTTATCCTGAATAGTGATAATAGATATTTTAAAAAATTATCTATCGGGTCAAGGGTCAACCTGGACCCAGTGGGCGGGTTAGCGTGACAATATCCACTAGAAATAAAATATAAAATATATATTGTTATATATGAAACGTAGTAATAGAGTTGTATGTCTAAAACTACTTTTATTTACAATTTAATGATTAATGATTAGTACAAAAATAGACAACATAATCATTGCATCAAAATATAGTCTTATTACAAAATTTAAAATATGTTTTAGGTCAATTGGATGGACAATATATAAATACAATGCAAATATAAAATCTTAGAAAATATGATATAAATATAGTTGCTACAATTTTATTAGTACGGAGTAGATAATATATGGAGTATTAATTATACTACATGATAGCGGCCGACTTTCTCATTTGCTAATTGTAAGTAGAAATTAATAAAAAGGTCACAAATTTAATTTATAAACAACGTTATTAATATAAACTACTCCCTCCATCCTGGAATTATCTTCATTCTTTCCTTTTCGGTCCGTCCCAAATTTATCTTCTTTTTTCCTTTTTGGTAAAGAATATGTGGTTCACAACCATTCTTACACATTTCTCTCTCTTCTGCATAACTCTCCACCATACAAATCCCACTATCTTAAAACCCGTGCCCGGTCAAAACCCGAGTTAAATATGGGACGGAAGGAGTACAATTTTATTAATAGCGGCCGACTTTCCCAGTTGTTTCTTGCAAGTCGAATTGCTCTTAAACAGTTTTAATTGATTTAGAATTACGTTTGCCAGATTTTTGGCGGTTAGTTCTCCATAGATGGTGAGCCGTGACCTAGTTTAAATTATTGATAATTGATATTTTGATCAACCAATACTAGATTGACACATCATCTTTTTAAAACTGAGTTTTACTATATAAAACAATAGATTACTAAAAAAAATTGAACCCTTACAATTTTTTGGGCTCTGTGCGGTTGGACACCCTGCACACTTTTTAAACAGTGTATAATAGATTACAACTTTTTAAAAAAAATTGAACCCTTACTATATAACACCTACACATTTTTTGGAACATCTTTTTAAATGTTCCTGCTCCATTAAGGAGTAGAAAGCAGTTTTAAGAATAAAAAAATGCGTGAATGAGTGAATGACAACGGTAAAATCTAAAAAGAGATTGAGGCAGTCAAATTTTGTAGCGGCAATCAATAAACGGATAAAGTGTGAGTAGTCCGTAGTTAAAATGAGATGGCAAGAATAAATTTGGAATAAGAAAGTTGTCTATTTTGCAGGGATTCGGTCCTGGCAGTTGGATCTATACAGCATATAAAGCGGTTCAACCCTCTGCCATTCTTTTTCTTGATACTGCAGTAGTTCTCTCGAGAGACCGGAGAAGCTAAAAATGGTGTTGGGGTGGCACACAATAGCGGTGGCGCTCGCGTGCGCGGCTCTGGCAATGCTGCCCGCAGTCTCGTCCCAGACGGCGCAGCCCGGCCAACCCCAGTTGTTTAAAGTCGGAGGCAGCCATATGTGGACAATGAATGCGACCTTCAACTACACCACTTGGGCAAGCGGCAAACATTTTCACCAGGGAGATTGGCTCAGTAAGCTCTATCTTCTCAGATCTACTTCGTTACATTCTTTTATTTATCATTGTCGCCTTATATGCGATGAAACTGCAGCGCGAGTAATGGTTTATGTTATGAGTTCGTTGTTGCCTTCAAGTTGAGCTGAAATTGTTAGATTTCTTTCGTTTTGATTAACATTCTGTCTTTTCGAGAGAAATTGGTCGCACAAGTTGGAGAACAGTGATACCGTCTGAATAAGACTGACATCACTTAAATGTTTTAGCAATTAATTACTAGTATTTCTTATACTGTTATTGTTACTCGTATATAACACCTACACAATTAGCAATAATTGAGGTGAATCCCAAGAAGAACACCTCCTTGCATTCGGACGAATTTATTTCTCTGAATCTGTTCAGATCTGCAGTATTTGTACTTTAAAATTGAACTGTCAGGAATGGTCTTTTCACATGGATGAAAAGTTTTACTATAAGCTTGATTATCATACGGGAGTCTTTTACATATCTCTAATTCTGTGGGAAATGACTTTTTTTTTGGCTGAACCAATCTTTTTCTATTTATAATGGGTAATATATCATATCATACCTAGGGAAACTATTTTGAGGTAAAAATACATAATGTTAGCAAATATTTTCCATTTCGACTTGTTTTCTAGCATACAACTGCAAGTTTCTACTGGACAAGCAGGGCCTTTATCAGGCTGATGTCTACCAAGTCTAGTCCCTTATTTGAAATTGCGGTGGAACTTAGTTGAAACAAGGAGGCTGGACTGACTTAGTCTAATACCATAAAGGAGTGTGTAAAATCCATTGTGGGAAACCCTTACATTATGTCAGTTTATACAAGAATGAAAAGAGTATCAAAGGTAAGGGGAATGATTACAGGAGGATTTTGTGGGATATTCAAATCAATAAATAAGTACAAATCAACTAAATATGACAAGAGATCATATATAAATATGGTAGTCTTTTAGTTATAAACAATATTACTACGTATGATTCAAGTGTATAGGAATCAATTGTTATTATTTGCTTCTGATTCGTCTCACTGATCACACAGTGTCATGTGCCTATTAATTTGTCGGAGTTCTTTCTTTTGGTCTCATATTAACTGATCATTGTGTGGATAAATTGTCAGATTAGTCTTATACTGCAGTGTACCAAAATTAAAGTTGGATTTTCCCATTGATTTCTTCACTCATTTATTTTTCTACTTTAAGGCTGACATTTTTTCATTGATAAACCATTTACTAATGATTTGTGGAAGTATAATAACACTTCCTGAACATTTATGCAAGGGGTGGGTGGAAGACAGTACAAGATAAATAAATGGCTGGCTTGGTTGGGTATTTTTGTTCAAGTTGCTTGTTATATGTTCTTTATTTGATGCTGCCCTCCTCTACAACTTATTCATTTTCAGAAAAATTGATGAAAATATGAATTTGTTGATCTTCTCTCTCAATAGTTTTGGCAGCATCTATTTTATTGTTTTGAGTAATAAGATTTGCATATGTAAGTTTCAGGTGAGAGATGGGTGTGTCACTTGGTTTAGTTATTTTACTTCCCTAACTTGATAAATGTTTGATAGTTTTTTTAAATTCTTTTTAATTTGTACTCACCATATATTTCTGTGACTTTTATGTACTCAGTTATGAAAGAATATGATATGTCCCTCTAGAATTGATCTGTTTTAGTTGGTAGTGATATCATATCCATTGAGTCTTTGATGGATCTAATTGTGGCGTGAAAGACTACATTTTGCATGAATTTATATCATAATTTTACTTTGGAGAACTAACCAACACTACGAATTTCAAGTTACCAATACCAATAACCCATTATAGTTGGGATCAAGGTGATGATGACTTTGTAGTAGTGTGCTAGTGTCCTTGTCCTTAGTACTTCAGAATGTGTAGTGTCCTAATGATGTCATATTTGCCATTCGAATTTTGATTGTGCAGTTTTTTATTTTGACAAGACCATGTTTAATGTGCTGGAAGTAAACAAAACCTGCTATGACTCTTGCGATTCTGACCATTTCATCCAAAACATTACACATGGTGGAAGAGATGTTGTCCAACTTAACCACACCAAGACTTACTATTTCATTAGCCACAGCTGGCAGTGCGCAAGTGGAATGAAAGTAGCAATTCACGTTGAAAGCAAACCGCCTCCTCCGACACCCTCCCCAAAAAAGAGCAGTTCTCCTCCTACTCTGCTCTCCACATTCAGAGGTCACATTCTTCTGCCAGCTTTGTTCACCATTGCTGCTGTGTGGGATTCCTTCCTGTTGCTTGTGTAGGTAGGAGCATTGTTCATCATCTTGATTACACGGCTTTGCTGAATTGGTTAAGTTAATTTGGAGCAACTCAATTGTGAAGAAAGATTGCTATGTAGGCTGATGTGTGCATTTATGTACCCGGAAAAGAAAACCTTGGCGTGTGTTGCAGTAATCTCTTGTTCTCTAAGGTCGTTAACCATTTTTTAAACTAATCAATTTGATCATTTGAGCTCACTTATGTCTGTGTGGTGGGTGTGTCAGTGTGTGTAAGTCTATTTCTCATGTGTTTGAATTTGAAGAAAAGGAGTGCACAAATTGCGGAGACTACAACTTGTATGATTTATCTAGGACAAACATTGACTTATACTTGGCGATTCCACTATTCCTTTTTATAAAATACTTCTCATTTTTTTCTTTTCTCCTAAAGCTATGGGTTCTTCTTAAGTTGAACTCCAACAATTTTTCAATGTACCATCTTTATATATATATATATATATATATATATATATATATATATATATATATATATATATATATGTATGTATATATATATATATATAGGGTGTGGTTCCAGTGAGAACACTCCTTAATGTGAGAAATGAGAACGCTCCAAAACGATGCACTTTATCTTTCACAAAACTGCACATTTATAGTTAAAGTAATGCAAATTCTAATGTGCACATTTACGTTTAAAATTTTGCACAGACGAAATGCACATTTTCCAATTTTTTATATGCACGTTTTTGTTTTACATGATGCACAATGCTCAAATCCAACGCTCCAGAATCATTCTCATTTCTCTCCTAAGATGGTATTCTCATTTGATCCTTACCCTATATATATATATATATATATATATATATATATATATATATATATATATATATATATATATATATATATTTTTAGGTTCAAGTGAGAATATCATCTCAAGAGAGAAATAAGAATAGATTTCAGCCCTTGGATTTTGATTTTTTCTTATTTCCCGTGCGTCATTCATTAAGGGCAAATCGGGTATTTACTTTCTTGCCAATCTAGCACACCGATGCTTTCCATAACTGCCACCTGCAATCTTTCCTTCATCTACACGGTCTATTTATCATCTTTCCTCAGTTTTACCGTTGTTTTTTCTTGGACGTCATCCGGCCCCACCACCTTCTAAATCTTACTCAACCCACACGACAACCTCTGCCACAATCGGAGAGGAGAAGAAAGATAGATACCAAGTCTTATCAATTTGATGTTTGTAAAATTAATATCTGCCTTTTTTCTGCCTTTTATCTATGACATTGAATTTGGAAAATTATATTTGAAGTGGAAGTTGCAAAAATACATAATAGAGACAACGTTTTTCAATAGCTTTTCGATGCACCATTAATATCTCAACGTTGCACTTTAATAGTGTTTTTGTGCACGAGCTTATATTTTTCTATATTTCAGTTTTTTACATTTTGTTTTTCTAAATAGTTAGATTTTTACAATTATTTCACTTCAAGTTTCTGTATGTGTGTGCAATGCATCTTTCTTGATTGTATGATAGTTGTTCACAAATGTATGAGCTTGTTTGCTAAAAACAATTTGAATAAAAGTGCATGTTCATGAGATAACAAGAGCATGTCGATGACATAAAAGTGCTATTCACAAAAGTGCATGTCAATGTTACTTGATGCACTTATGCTCATACATAATGCACTTTACTGAACTAGTCATAGACTATGCATTAATGTTTCGTAAAAGTGCACTTACGATAAGACAAATGTACATTTCTTTACTTAATTACAATATATATTCACTTATAGTTGAACAAAGATCATATTTTAGTTATGCTTATATAACTAATACTCCTTGCGGTCCTTAATGAAGTTTACACTTTGACTTCACACATATTAAGGAAATAAATTTGACTTTACTGTAGAGTACACTGTTTGACACTGTTTTGTACTATTTGGTATAGATTTGTTTGCCAAATAAGGCAAATAAGGAAGTGTAAAGTTTAATATGGGATGACCCAAAATGAAAAGTGTAAAGTTAATTAAGGACCGGAGGGAGTAATTAATTTCAAAAGTGAACAATCAATACATAAAAGTGCATCACGAATTTTGGTAAAATGCATAAAAATGTTTATTACTATTAATAGTCTACATAAAAAATGCACCTCTTTGATAATTTCATGCACCATGCATCCAATTTTATGCACAAAACACACAAAAAGCATTATTAACGAGTGCATCATGTTCAAGTAGTCACTCTAGATGTATTTAGAAATTCAAATTATAATTGATCTGAGCTAACTAAATGAACGATGACTCAATTTATTTACTAGTGCACTTTTATTGTGAACATATTGCATGCTTAAACAAACAGAATTGCACATATGTATGTTAATAGAAATGCAAATGTAAGTGAATGATTAATAATAGTTCGTATTATAATTATATAATGATATTTCAAGCAACAATATTATTTATGAGTAGACGGAAGTTTAGGGACTTAGAAGTGGCGGTTACATAATAATAGGGAAAGTGCTAAAATGTAGGTATTCGTATATAATGTTATTAATCTTAGAGTTACTAATATGCCCTCCTCTATTGGACACACGTGCATTCAATTTTTAGAGAAGTTATATCATGTAATCATGTGCATCATAAGAAGCGTGCATCAATTACTTCGTGCCGTTAAAAACATAAGATCAAGGTATGAGATGTGTTCTCATTTCTCTCTTGGGAGTCCATTCTCACTGGAACCGCACCCTATATATATATATATATATATATATATATCATTTGCCCTTTTACTTTTAATGTGTGAAACTGTAAATGGTGAAATCAGAATAAATTCTACATTTGGATTCTTATCTATTAGATGTATTTATCAGGAAGATTCATAGCTCGTTTTCGCTTGATGTATACTAAAATCAGCCTGCTTAACGATTATTCTTTTCACAGTAGGAGCGATAGTAAATCTCCTAGGAGAGTCTACGTAAGCTCCAGGATTAGCAAATCAACATCTCAATTTAAATTGATTTGTTCTATGTCTTTATGTCATTGAAGCATTGAGTTATATGATTGCATTTTGATCAGTAATAACCAAGTTTTGATTTTATAAAAGAATATCTATTTGACAGTTACATTCGGAAATTAAAAGGGACATCACATTGGACATTGGAGCTGCAAGATTCTGAAAGTCCCATAAAAAAAGAGAAAATGAGACTTATGACAAAATCACGAGTTACAACCAAGCTACAAGGCATGGGCTTTGTTGCAATTAACTGTTTGTAAAATGTTTGAAACATTAGGGCCTGTTTACTAACAGAGATATTTTCCTGTTTTCTACTTCTGTTTTTTGTCTCCAATTTTCTGTTTTTATTTTTCAGTTTTTCTATCTCCAGTTTTCTGCTTCTATTTTCTAGTTTTCCATTTTCAAATCTGAAAACATGTTCATCAATTTTTTCACCTAGTTCTGTGATCATCCAGAAGATTGACACGTTTACTTCACGAGTTACTAAATAGTGCTTATTAAGACTCGCGTTAATAAGCGACACATAAAATAAGCAATGTTATAAGATCATGTTTATTTCCCACGATCTTACACTTTACCCATACTCCCCTAAAACTCTTCATACCCACCCATACCTACTCGTAGGGGTCAGGGTAGGGAAGGAAGGTATGGGTGGGGGTGGGTGGGGGTGGGGTAAGGGGTATGATTTGGGGTGGGGTGGTAAGGTCTAGGGGTATGGGGTTGGGTGGGGTAGTGGGTGGGTTATGGTGGTGGTTAGGGGTAAGGGTGGGGGTAGTTTGTAGGGTTGGGGTTGGGGTAAGGTAGGGGTAGGGTAGGGAGTCGGGATATGATGGCGGTAGGGTGGGGCCGAGGTAGTGGAAGGGGTAGGGTGGGGGTAGGATAGTGGTGGGGGTAGGATGGCAGTTGTGACACCGCTCCCAATTTGAACTGGGATTAATTTATCCATTAATATTAAAATTTAATAGAAATTACAAATACCAATGTCGATGAGGATGACTAGTTGAGTTCGTGAATATTTATTCATTTTGAAAACTAGTTACAAAAAATATTAATCATATGAGAAATGATTAATTGATTAAATTAATACCGATTAATTATATTGTGTGTCGGACCCTAAAGAAAACGGGAAGGGACTAACTAGTATATTCTTGGACCACGTTAAAATTAGTTAAAAGCCCAAGGATAAGAAAATAAGTTATATACGGATGTTTGGGCCGGGAAAAAGGTGAAGGAATAAAATAAAGAGACTTTTCGAGCCACTTTCTAAAAATAGAAAGATAAGGGAAGGGGGGTCTCTTATCCTCTCATTTGAGAGGCTATACGGGAGATTGAAGAGCTCCTTAGAGAGCTCCATACCAAGCCAGAGCTCAGGGAGAAAGGGAGGCCAAGAAGAGAAGCGAATCCGTTAGAAAACAAAGCCTAGCGGTAAGAATTTCATAGCTCCGGTTCTTGTTCTTGCGTTGAATATATTTTTCGTATATGATTTTATAGAAATCATATGATGGATTCTAGGGGATGTTCTACACGTTTAAATGTGTAGAAAAATGATATAAAGTGTTGGTATTTAACCTAGAAGAATCGTTGAATCGATAGGAGTTGAAATCGCCGGAAACCGCCAAGTAAAAGAGGCTGTCTCGTGTAGCAGAGCCCGAAAGCCGCCCGACTTTCACCTGCTGTCCAGATTCTTCATCTCCGATCGGCCTAGAACGAGGACGGATCGAGGGGCTTTGCTAGGGCAGCTAGTTGAGCACATCATAAGGTGAGGATGACTGACTATATTGTTTATAATTAGTGAGTTAATTTCGTAAGATTACCTAAAGTTGTTAAATGTGATTTTCATGGATTATTAATGATTAATAATGCCTAAATGAAAATACTATTGTTTATGAGTAAATGAAGCATGATATACAAATTTGGGGGAAATTGTGTATGATTATGTGATATGAAAGTGATGGCATGATAATGGAATTAACTATGAAAATATTGTGATGAAATATACTTTTACTTCATGTATAGAATTCATGAATGGATAAAAGTGATATTCTTGATATTGAGATTAAATTGTATTTGGATTGGAAAATCAATTGGAATGAAATGTTGGTTATGAATTAAGAACTTGGTTGTTCTAAGATTCTCCGACTAGTATTGAAATACTAGTCGGGAGATTGAGATAAATAAATGATGAAATTAATCCTAAGAGATAGGATTGTGAATAGAGATGCCTCAAGTAGTCCTAAGAGATACTTAAGGGTCGGAATGTATGAGCTCTAAGATATGTTAGGAGTAGGCCTTAAAGGCTACTCAAGGTAAAATGATTCTAGGCATAGAATTGGCTTAGGAATCGAATAACTTGACTAAGAGCGAGGCTCTAGTATGAAGGTAGGTTGACTAAGAGCGGGGCTC